GTGTGTGTGTGTGTGTGTGTGTGTGTGTGTGTGTGTGAAGTCGGCAGCAGTCAAGATGCAGTGGCGATTGGTGCGCACTTGGCCTCGGCCTTGATGACAGTCTTGGTCTTCGCCTTGGGAAGCACGCTCCAGGGATCCTGCGAGTGGCAAGGACACGGAGAGAGCCGCACATGATTGAGATTGGACACAAGTTCACAAGCAAACAACAAAAACGTTGAAAGTAACTGGTTTCATCGCAGACACAGACACACAGGCACAGACACAGACACACAGGCACAGACACAGACACACAGACACACACAGACACACACACAGGCACAGACACACACACACACACAAACACACCGCAGACGAACCTTGAGCAACTTGTCGACGGTTTCTTCGGTGGCACCGCGGGCGATGCACATGCGCTTGAACGCGTCGCGCGCGGTCCCTGTCTTGATTGAGTCGGCAATCTTCTCCATGCCCTCCTCCGGGGTGGCGGCCAGGCCGACCTGATGCAAGAGGTGCCCGCCTTCAAGGATCACCAGGTCGTCAAGGTCCTTCGGGCCCTCGCCGTTGAGGCACTTGACAGTTTCATAGACCTCCAGGGAGTTTCCAACCGTCAGGCCGATGGGGCAATCCATTTCGGTGAGGAGGGCGCGGGTGTTGACGCCGAGCTGCTTGCCAACCTCAACCATCGTCGTGGCAAGCGCCTCCGCATCCTTCAGCGTCTTCATGAACGCAGCAGAGCCAACCTGGCGACGCGAGACAACGCAGTGTTGGGGCAAGTGCACGGGTTTGTGTGAGTGTGTGAATATGTGTGAATGCGCATGTGAATGTGTGTGTGTGTGCATGCGCGTGTGAATGTGTGTGTGAATGTGTGTGCGTGTGCAGAAGAGGTTGCGACGTGTCATCCCATAGCGATTGAACGACAGCAGGAAGCCAAAGCCACTGCAGTCCATCCTGACACGTGAATGCACACACCTTCACGTCGAGCACGAGGGCGGCCGGGCTCTGGGTTGCGTGACGAAAACACACACACACACACAGACACACACATTCACACAGACACACACACATACACACAGACACACAGACACACACGCATACGCATGGGTGTGAAACGATTGAGACAAACAGCAATCATGTTCCAGGGGTGAAGTGACAAATCGCATGATATGATGTCACAACGTGTGCAGATGATGATCATGATGATTATGGTGATAATGATGCTGTTTGCTTGTGTGTGTATGTGTGTGTGTGTGTTTCGGCCGCACCTCTGAGAGCTTCTTCGACATGATGCTGCCGACAATGAGGGGAAGGCTGCTCACGGTGGACGTCACATCCCTGCAGCACAAAAAAAAACAGCACAAGGTGGGTGGAAGCAACATGCGGCGGGCAGGTTGGTTAAAGGAATGCCAATTTCAGCCGTGTACATCAAGCCAAACACTCACAGACACACACGGACAAGCAGATAGACAGACAAGCAGATCAGGCAGGCAAACACACACACACACACACAAACACACACACACACACACAAGACCATTTCAGGATACCGACCTGGTGTGGTAGAGGATGCGGTCACCGGGCACGAGGTCCTTGGACTGTCCGACAATGCAGCCGCCGACGTCGGCAACAACCTTGGCGAGCTGGCACGCAGCACGGGTCATGGCGCAGTGGTGGTGATGGCGGTGGATGATGATGATGTGTGAGATGGTTCAGGGAGTGAGGCGGAAGGAGGCGGCAGCTTCGATTCACGGAAGAGGCAAACTGAAGGCAAGGTGCGGACACACACACACAGGCAGAAAGACAGACAGGCAGAGAGAGAGAGAGGCAGAGAGAGAGAGAGAGAGAGAGAGAGAGAGAGAGAGAGAGAGAGAGAGAGAGAGAGAGAGACTCACTCACTCAGTCACACACACACACACACACACGCACACACACACACACACACGCACACACACACACACACACACACGTTTGTTGGCTATATACCTCGGTGGGTGGGCAGGCGGTGTTGTACCCCGGGATTGCCTCGAGCTTGTCCAGGGTACCGCCCGTGTGGCCGAGACCGCGACCAGAGATCATCGGCACCTGCACACACACACACACACACACACACACACACACACACGCACACACACACACACAACACACGTATGTTGTCACGAGAGGCTGAGGTGAAGCGTTGCAGATAACAGCGCACGAGTTGTGCTGTACTGCTGACGTGTTGTTGCTTTTGTTGTTTTGTTGCTTTTGTTGTTATGTTGCTCAACGTACCCTGCAGCCGCACGCAATGAGGGCTGGGGCGAGCGGCAGCGACACCTTGTCGCCAACACCGCCAGTGCTGTGCTTGTCCACAACCTGTACACGTGGTGTATGACGTTGCCGGGTGGTCAGCGCAGCCAATAATGTGTCAAATACAAGCACACAATATAGACACGTGCGGAAATAAACACACACACACACTCACTCACACTCGCTCACATCAACACAATGCACGCCAGCACACTCACTCACTCTCTCACATCAACACAATACACGCCAACACACGCCATCACACGCCAACACACATCAGCATCCATAAACTCACAAGTTTGCGTTGAACTTCGTCCAGGACGGGCTCCCACTTGACGACGTCGCCGCTGGCCATGAGCGCACGCGTCAACGCGACCGTCTCGTCGCGTGACATGCCTGCAGGACAACCGAAGAACATCAAAAGGCGAGCGGTGAGGGCGAGCGGTGAGGGCGAGTGGTGAGGGCGAGTGGTGAGGGCGCGTGGTGGTGCTCAGAATGATTCGTGGGCGCGTGTATGTGCTGCAACACCGCGTCCGCGCACACGTTTTGGTTTGACACTTTCAAGGCTCAGCCAACGCATATGAACGCTGTGGCAGTGTCACTCAGCACCCACTATTGAGGTACGTTGAAGCATATCGAAGCATACTGACACTTCACCAACGTCCCCAGCTCCCCTTTCCCTTTCCTTCACGGCTTTGGAGCTTGTTCACTGTTTGCTCTTGTGCTTGTGTCCCACTACACATACCTCGGACGTAGACGGCCATGAGGAAGGCGCCAACCTGGTCCGGGCCAACATCCCCGTTGACGACGCCCTTGATGAAGGCGGCAATCTCGCTGTTGTTCAGCTCCTCGCCGTCGCGCTTCTTAGCAAGCAGGGCTGGGGTGTCCAGCCTGCGGTGCACGTTGTTCGTGAGCACGCGAAGATCCAAGACATTGGGGGAGGGGGAACAACAAGCACGCACACACGAGAACGTATTGCGGACAGCGCAGTTGCCCTTGCCACTGACTGCTCCTCCACACCGCCTACAACACCACATGGGCACAAACACGCATACGAACAGAGTCGTGTGAACACATCCTTCCAGCACCGCACCACAACTCACTTTGCCCTCTTGGTCGTCTGTCCATCCATGGTCTCTTGTTGTTGTTTGTTGTTCGTCAGTGGGTCAGTGGCACTCTTGATAGTCGTTGTGTTGTTGTTCGTTTTGCGCAATCGAAGAAAAACTTTTCTTGGAGGACGTGTGTGGTGTTGTTGTTGGTGTTGGTGTGTTGTTTTGCTTTGCACTGCACCAGCGTTGCTGGGTGTGTGTGGTTCTGTTGTCGGTGTTGTTGGGGGAGAAGAGGAAAGGGGAGATAGCAAAGGGGCACAGCTGACAGAGGGGCACAGCGGACATTCACATCAAACGAGACACGAGGACAAGCAACGACGAAAACGACGAGCAACGAGCACACGCACATGCACGTCATAGTAATGACAGTTTGGTGCATGTATGTGTATGTGCAGATGCGTGCATGTGGGGATGCGTGGATGTAGTTTCAAGTCACTCGTTGCCGTGCTCAAACAGCCAGTTGGCGGCCGCATTCTCGTCCTTGTCACACGCAAAGTACGCCTGTCAGCACGGTGAGGGTGGAGGTGTGGTGAGGGTGCAGCAAGCAGATATCAACAAGTTCTCTGCGTCAACACAACACAACACAACATGCATGTGCACAGCACAACACAACACAGCGCAACACAACACAGGACGGGGGGTCGTGTGCACCTGTGCGGCGGTGGCGCGGTCAAACCCAAAGGCGACGAGCCGCTCAATGGCCTCGGCGTCCTCTGGGGAGAGCTGCAGCCCCTGCGCACCGGGCGGCGGACCCTGTGGCATCGCAGCAACAGACGGCGCGTTGATCAGGTGATAAAAGTCCTCCTGGTTGTCGTTGATCAGCTGTTGGTGTGCGCGCGCGTGTGTATGTGTGTATGCGAGTGTGTGTGTGTGTGTATATGCGAGTGTGTGTGTGTGTGTGCAGCGACAAGAGAGATGAGGTGGATATCATCCTCAATGATGAAACAGGAATCTCGAGGGAGAAACAGAAACAGACACACAGAAACATAGACATAGAATCGCATAAACACACGCATACACATGCATACGCACATACACACGAACACATACCTGGACGAGGTCTGGGTTTGAGGAGGCAAGGTGCTGCAGAAGGCTTGGCAAATGCTGATGGTGGTGAATCAGGATACGCAGGACATGCAGGACGCAAATGCAATGAGCACTCGTTGGAGGCAAGTATTTGGCACGTGCGCACACGCACACATGAGTACACACAAGGACACACAAGTACACACACACACGCAAGTGCACAAACACACACAGGCACACACACACGCAAGTGCACAAACACACACAGGCACACACACACGCGCGCGCCCAAGTGCACAGGCAATGACAGCAGTGGCAGGGACGCACGGCTGGGTTTTGGTGGACGAGGCGACGCAGCTGGTTGAAGGCGGGATCAATGTGAAGAAACGCAATGGGGCTGTCGGGCGAGAGACCTGGGGGCACGCAAGCACGAAGCGGTTGAATGGGTGAATGGGTGGATGGGTAGCAGACGTGCGCGCTTCACAGTAGATACAGTGTTAAAAGCACACGACACTAGGGACACATGAACCTCAGCTCTCGTCTTCATTGCAACACACACACACACACGCACACACACACACACACACACACACACACACACGCGCGCACACACACACACACACACACGAGACCACACTGAATGCACAGACTTTTTAAAGAGGCTTTAAGGAGCGTGTAAACTTATGATGGTCACATAATGTAAAGTGGTTGAGCACAAAGGATTCAGCAGTTGTAAGGGGCAGAGTCGTGAGGACTATAACTATGAAAGGGATCACACTTTTCCTGATGAATTATCATGGCAGACGCCAACTAGCTCCTTGTGCTCTTACCGCAGTGAAGACGAATACATAGGGACATAAACGCCCAACCGCGAGGTGTACTGTGGAGCAGCCCTTGTTTACATGGCCACCCAAAGGAAAATCGAACGAACACCTTACCAGGGGGGCCTCCTAGCATGGTGTTACTTCAACGTTACGCGCTTATGGACAGATGTTTGGAGTCAGCCTTGGACCACTGCATTAGCACAGTACGGCATGAGCGGGTGATGCCTCGGTTGTCGATTCGGCTGTGGGCTCCTCTGTCGTGCTGTCTGCTTCGCCCTCTCCTTGCTGTTGCTGCTGTTCCCCTTGCTGGTGTGCTGCTGGCTGGGCACTCGTGGGAATGCCCTGCGAACACACGTACAGAAACGCGCGCGCACGGAAATGTGCAATGTTTGGATGTGACCGTGCGTATGAATACATGCGCGCCACATTCATGCACGCCGTGATAAACAATGCCACCACCACCACCATAACCACCACAGGCTACTTCTCCCCCCCCCCACACACACGCGTTCGTTGCTGGTGTGTCGTGCAACTCACATTCTGCAGATATTCCACCGCACGCTCGATGTTCCCAAACGCGGCGCTGAGGGCGCGCTCAGCCTATACGGGCGCACACGCACAGTGGCGAGGTGTGGTGTTGGGGAAGATGGGTGGAACGAACAACACCAAACACAGAGAACTGCAACACGCGACACACACACGCACACACGTACACACACATACACACACACGCACACACACGCACACACACACATACACACACATACACACACATACACACACAAACGCACGCACCTGCGCCCTGTCAAAGCCCATGGCTGTGAGTGTGTTGAGGCTCTCCTCACTGGCGGCTAAGTCCATCACATGCAAAGGAAAAGGGTGATACAGAACACGGCAGCCGCGGCAGCGGTGAGAAATGACAGCATGTGATGCAAGACAATAGTGCCGTGTACATTTCTCTCGCTCACAGCAGAGACAGAGAGACAAGTGCATACCTGGGCCAGACGAAGGTGCAGCTGGTGTTGAGGAGGAAGTTGTTGTGGACGCGGGCTTTGGCTCTGTCGTTGATGACGATGCAGGCGTCTCCTCCGATTTGCTGCTGGCTGTGTCCTTCTTGTCGGCCGCGGGCTTGCTCGCTGCAGGGCGCTGTTATCACAACAAAGGAGCACATGGTGACGTGCGTGCGTGTACGTGTGTGCATGTGCACGTGTGCCGTGAGACAGCTTCGCCGTCATCATTTTGGTCAGTCTCACCAACCTCTGCTTCGTGTGCAGCAAAGGAGAGACAGGGCCAGAGACAGAGACAAAGGCAAGGACAGAGGGAGAGGAGACACGCCAGCATAAAGAAACGAAAGCATGAATAGATGACACACAGACGTTCAGGCACACACACACACACACAACACACACACAACATGCACACAACACATACACAACAGGCGCGTGCGTTCCAACGTACCTTGCCGCCCATCACGACCAAGAAGTCATTCTCCTTAAAGTTGAGCGACTCCAGGACATCGTCGTCCTTGAGAAGGCGGCCTGTTGGGACGGCAGCCACAGCAAGGCAGACACAGCAAGGCAGCCACAACAAACCAGCAAGACGCGCAGGTATGTGTCAAGGGTGAAATGTGAGTGGACGACGCTTGCTTGTGTGCACGTTCCACACAGACCATTCGTCTCTCGACAGGTCCACAACCAAACCGACCGGAGAAGATGAGGCGTTGTGCATCCGGGTGCAGGTCGTCTGACTTCTTCTCTGCATAAATGGCCTCCTTGATCAAACGCACCTGCGTTGGTTCACAGGCACACGCACGCACACAGAGAGCGAATGGATGAAAACGACGCCAATGTAGACGGCAAGGAGGTTCGGGTCGACATAACCATAACTATTCCAATTTCACGTAAAACCAAAGCACAACAATAAGAGGAGAAGAGGAGCGACAGCGGCGAGGACGCTTACGGGCTTTGAGATGTCTGCCTCGACCTCAAAGGTCCCTGCCTTCATCGACTTCACAGTCACTTTCATCTTCCTTCTTGCTTGGGTAGGGTGCAGTGGTGGTGGGTAGAGATAGACGTGGGTTGCTTGTCGTCAGATTGCTGCTGTCGGTCGGTTCTTTGTCGAAATTTATGAACAACAACGCGATTAATCGGCAACCAAGTGTGTGTGTGTGTGTGTGTGTGTGTGTGTGTGTGTGTGTGTGTGTGTGTGTGTGTGTGTGTGTGTGTGTGTGTGTGTGTGTGTGTGTGTGTGTGTCGTCGTCG